AAAAAAAAAAAAAAAAAAAAAAAAAAAAAAAAAAAAAAAAAAAAAAAAAAAAAAAAAAAAAAAAAAAAAAAAAACAGGAGAGAACAAACAAAACAAACCAGATTGAGACAATTCGTTCTAGAAGAAAGCATCTCAGAATTTCAAAGGAAAAATGGATTTACATGCATAATTATATAAGTACAATCAGTCCAATAGTGTTCTGATGCTTAACGAATAGCACTTGGTTTACCTCAACAGTTTTTAGATTTATCCTGATAAGCTCCTTTCTGCTCTCAAAATTGGGAAGAGGAATATAAATACGCTTTTCAAGCCTCCTCCTGAAATAGTGGGAGCAATTAAAAGAAGAAATTACCCAGTAACCCCCAGCTAAGAGTAACTTCAACACCAGTACATCTACCACATAGAGAATAAAAATTACTTCAAAAAATTTAGTATAAGAAGACATATTAAAAGGACCAACCTAAGTGCCTCATCAATGTCCCACGGGAAGTTTGTTGCAGCCAAAACCATCACTATCTTACGGTCTTCACTGGAGGAACTATTGTTTACACCATCTACCTGAACTAAAAGTTCTGACTTCACTCTTCTGGATGATTCGTGCTCACCAGAAGCCCTAAAGAAAACACATAGATGCATTTATTTTTCTTCACAAAAATTAGGCCGGAGGGAGAAAGGAGTAAAACTAAAGCAAAAATCTCCAATAGAAAAGACACCAAAAATCATCTCCAACTCTAATCACGTGAAGAATCTTACCCACGAGCATTACATAGGGAGTCAATTTCGTCAATGAAGATAGTACTTGGTGCATGAGATCTTGCAAGTTCAAACAGGCACCGGACCATGCGCTCACTCTCCCCACGCCATTTTGAAGCCAAGGTGGCAGAAGAAACATTAAAAAAGGTTGTGCCACACTCGGTTGCCACAGCTTTCGCAAGTAATGTCTTCCCAGTCCCAGGAGGGCCAAACATTAGGACTCCTTTCCATGGTCTCCTTATTCCCTGCAAGGAAAAAACAGCAAGATTAGTATGTGTGACACATGGACACAGGTAATAAGCACACTATGGCCAGCAGGGGACAACAGAATACAAATACATCAACTCAACCAAATGCACTCGGCAGACTAAAATCTAAAGCTAGAAGAAACTTTAGGTCTGAATTCTGTAAAATTTCAATCTTTCTATCAATCATTTGGCAGTAACAAGATAAGCCCTCCTAAAGGTCAGGTTGAATAGACCCCTAGATTGATTGTTGATTTAAATCGTTGAAGGCGAAAGTACACATCAGCTTCGGGTACAGATATAACCAAGCATATTAATCATCATGGGACGAATATATCAGCACAGAGTGATGATTGGTTTGGTATTATTAGTTTACAAACTTATCAGGTGGCCCCGAAGGTAATTCTAGTGAACTAATTCAAGAATACCTGAAAATATTCTGGCATCCACAGGGGAAGAACAACAGCTTCCTCCAGAAGTCTTTTTGCTTCACTCAGGCCAGCAACATCATCCCATCTCACTCCTGGACTAGTCTCCAACACATCTCTTTCGAGCATAGCAGCTAGATCAGGATCAGGTCCCTCATACTGTCCCTTCTTAGAATTTCCCTCATCATCACCATTCTAACAACATCATTCATTAGTTTATATGCACGTTATACTGTACAAACTTGAGATAGTATTCATAATATATCAATAATTCATGAAATTAATCGAACTAACGGTGGTGGGAAATAATGAATGAAGAAAAAAAATGATATTAAGGGCTTCAACAGCAACCTATTCTTAAAACAAAACTGTTATCTGATGTCTTGCAAAGGTAATCACAAACCCATGACTTTGGGGGGGGGGGGGGGGGGGGGGGGGGG